CCCATGGCAACCCACTGCAGCAGGGGTTGCAGACTACACTGTCGCTGGCGACTCACGGCAGCCCAGCTCCAGGGCAAGCTGTTGTTCACCATCTTAGCTGTAGAGGGCGCAGTGTCACTGGCCCTCATGTGGGATCTGAACCGGGGCTCTGCTGCTCAGAGCTGGCATCCCAAGCCAACTCTTACCCAACGCACCACTCGGCCGGCCCTTGGAGATATTCTTGAACTGAGTTTTTAAGGATTAGTAGAGCTTTGAAATATGAATTCCAGATGGACTCATTTTAGCAACAGTGTGGAAGTGGGAGAATCCCACTCCATATTTAGGAGTGGTAGGTTGTATAACTAAAACAGAATGCAGGTGGATGTAATAGGAGATAAGGTACAAGAGGCTTAAGTCAGATCATTCACACTCTTGAATAACATACTAAGGAATTTGGACTTTGATCAGGAGCTGTGAGCTGCCACAAAACCTTTTTGAGTAGCCAGTAGCTTCTTAAGGGAAGGGATTGTATCTTGTTCATTTTTATATCTTTTTTATAACTATATGAAGAGGTAATATAACACTGTAATTAAAAACACAGACTCTGGAACCCACTGTTTTGGTTCGACGGCTGGCTGTGTCACTTCTTAGCTATATGACTTTGGGCAAGTTACTTCATTTCTCTGAGCCTTGGTTTCTTTATCAATACGATTGAGGTAATGAAAGTATTACTTCACTGGGTTGTGAAGATTCAATGAATATAATGTAAAGTGCTTAGAATAATGCTTGCATAGTAAACTGTTCTTTAAGAGTTAGTTAAGAGTTAGTCATAAGCATTATAATCATTGCCAATGTCTGGCATATGAGTATGGTAGGTATTCAATAATTTTTGAGTGATCAGAGTCGTATTTTAAATTTACTCAAGCAAGTGTTTATATACTGTTATATGCCAGGCAAGAGAATGCTGTTAAGGCATTTATGGTCTAGTAGAGGAGATATAAGGCATAAACATAGTTAAAGGTAGGAAATGATGCTGCTGTAGGAGAGTGGTGTAGATGGAGGGCCTTGGTAGTTCAGAAGCATGTTAGTTCAGAGGGGAGCCAGATTTGTTTTGTGGGAAAGGGAGTATTTGAACTGGGCTTTGAGGATGGGTAGACTGTGGATATAAGCGGGGACAGGCATTCTAGCCTGTGGGAATAGCCTGGAAAAGCATGGTAATGACACTTTATGGGGAATGGTTAAATCATGCTACAGAAAAGACTGAGAGGCAAATTAAGTCTCTGGTCAAAGTCGAGTTTAGTAGTGGTATCAGAGTTCAGTGGGAGTTTCCTGTTATGGTCTTACTAATTTTAGAGATCAGCTGTCTTTTGTGTAGATTGAGCCTTGCTACTCAATGTGTGGTCCATGGACCAAACAACATCAGCATCACCTGGGAGCTTATTAGAAATTCAGACTCCCAGTGCTGCACCCCCTCCCCCATAGAATCAGAGTCTGCAGTTTATATGATTTACATGATTTGTTTCTGCATTAAAATTTAGGAAGCACTGATCTGATCTTAAAAAAAAAACCAAGTCTCCTTGCTTCTCAACATGAATGTGTATGTAAATGAAACTAAAAATAACCAAGTTGAGTAATCACTTCCTCTCATGCATATGCATTAAGAAAGCACTCCCTTCTTGAGCTAAGTAATTCTAGCTGGCATGACTTTGGGTGGTGGTCATGGGGAATAAGAATCATTCAGAATGTAGTTTTTTTAGGTCCTTTTATAGGTCATACCAAATAAGATTTGAGGTTTTATCCACAACTCAGATGTTGATACAATTAGCAATAAAAATTTTACTGAAAACTTACTGTTAGTATTAAATGCTTTTGTAGGCATCTATCACTTCCCTGTGAAGGATGAGTAATATTTCCCTTTCAAAGTACGTATATTCTGTTTATAGCAACTGGAATGATTAACTCTGCTCAAGCTCATCTTCCAATATAAGCTAATGCCTGTCTCAGTTTGCCAGGTCTGTGACACCATTTTGCATGTGATGGTGGTGGTGGAAAGGAAATGAAGTTGAGGAGGTCAGGCAGAAGAGTTTCACATAGAAGTAGAGTTGTGTGACACCACTGTGATGTGGTGATGTGAGGGGGGCGGGGGGAAGAAGGCAGACAGAAAACTCACACGAAGCCAGTGCCTGTCTAGATGTGCTGTCTGTGATACCTCTGTGGATGATGTGGTCATAGTGATGGCGTGCCTGGGGGGAGGGAAGCAAGGCTGTATCACACCCAAACCAGGTCTTTCCAGCTTCTAGGGGACCCATGACTTTAGAATGTAGCTGTTGTTTTGCTAGTGGAATCATCTTACCTAGCTTCTATATAAATATTTGACTAAATAAAATAAATACCTCTTGGCTTTCTAGCCTTGAACCTGCCTCTAATGTTCCTTCTTATAAAATGAGTTTACATTGTGAAGCTAATTTGACGATTATTGTTTTTTCATTCAAGAAATGTTTGCTTAGCATCTTATGTGCAAAGCATTGTGTTTCAGGCACTGTGTATAGAAACAAATGAGATGAGATCTGTACTCTTAAAAACCTTTCTTATATCCTAGTCTGGAGAAGGAATCAGAAATGTTAAAAGAAGAAGAAGGGCAACATTTTCTAGTGCTTAGTATATTCCAGGAGCCCAAGTTATCTCATTTCATCTTCATAGTAACCATATAGGTTAGGTGATCTTAATGTCCCTTTTTGCATGTGAAGAAACTGAAATCCAGAGAGGTCATCAGTAAGTAGCAGAGGCAGGATTCAAATCCTAGCAGTTTTGACTCCAGACCCTGGACCACTTTACTTATGCTAATGAGCAGCCTTTACTTGAGCTTGCTTACTGTGTGCCAAATGCTATACTAGGTACTGGAAATGCAGAGATAAATAAAACTCTGAATCGTTTGCAGTAAGGAAAGTTACAAAAGAGTGATGGGGGTTATTACCCTATTTTACAGAGAGGGAAACTAATGCTTGCCAAGTAAAAGTGGAAGTGGTATTTGAACCCACACCCGCTAACTTCAGAACTCTTTTAACCAACTCTGTTTTGCTTTCCATTTCTTCCCAGTCCAGAGGTAAGATTCAACTAGTCATTGGAGCCTGCATCCTGTTTTCAGTACTGCCTAGATCTTGCCTCAGGTTCTTCCTTTCTCAGGCTCCCAAGTCTCTGGATGCACTTAGAAGAAAAACAGTGATCCAGAAACCCCCTCTTAGAGAAACTCTAAAATTTCTACATTAGTAATTTTGGTGGAAGCAACATGTCTTTAAAACTGCTTTAATATCACAGCCCACCAGGCATTCCCCCTCACTCAGTTTCTTTTCACAGTCATTTACTATATGTGTATACTATTTGCTAGGCACTGTTAGGTGCTGTTATCACAGAAAAGAATATGACCTGACTCCTGCCTTCATGGAACTTTATGGTCCTTTGCAGCATAGTCACTGCTGTGCCTCCACTCTCACTTGTAGTCACCTTTTCTTTGTTCATCTAAACTAGAACTTAATTGAGACTTGTGGGTATTGTCAGTGAGACTTCCTTCCTGGCAATGCAAACCCTGATTGTCACTGGCTCTATGACATTTGTCTCTTCTCACTTTATGATCATCAGTCATAATCATTGATTTGTGATTTTTATTTTAAAATTATTTTTATATATAGTTATATAACTATAACCTGTTGGTTTAAAAGAACTTAAAATATAACTTAAGTGTGTACATTAAAAAATAAAATCATCCTTTACTCTCTCAGTATCACTTATTATTAATGCTTCTGGACATTTTTTTATTAATATACAAATTTTTTGTACACAAGTGGTATTTATGGCTCAATGTTTTCATTTAACAGTATATTTTGGATATCTTCTCATATCAGTGCATAAAGATCTACTTTTTAATGGCTATATAGTATTCCAGTCTAGGAATATATTATTGTAATGGTTTAATCAGTCTTTTATTGGTGGGTATTTAGATTCATATATACTGGTGAAGTAGATGTCCTTTTACATGTATTTTTGCTCACCCAAATTGAGTATATTTGTAAGATAAATTCCTAGAAGTGGAATTGGAGCAATTAAAATTTTTGCTAAATATGGTCATTACCCTTTGAAAAAGTTGTGCCAAGAATTCAACAGTATTTCCCATTCCTGTTTCTCACCTTCTGGAAAATACTGAGCATTATCAATCTTAATCTTTGTTCATTTGATAGATTTAAAAAGCAATATCTCCTTGTTTTAGTGTGTATTTCTTTGATTATGAGTGAATTTGAGCACATTTTGATATTTTTATTAATCATTTATACTTATTTTTCTATGAATTATGTACATACCTTTTGCTTATTTTTCTGTTGTGTTTTCTTTATTACATGTTTGGAAGAGGTTTTTTTTTACTTTATGTTAAGGAGTTAGTCCTTTGCCATCCAACAAATGTGGGGCCCCCTCTCTCATTTGTTGTATGTAAATTAAAGACTTTCAGATTGGGTAGTCCAACTTGCTTCCTTTCTAGATGAGGAAACCTACCCCAAATAGTGTTAAGGTTGGTCACTTTTTTTGGCAGAATGAGGGTGAGCATGTAGTCAGATAGTGGCAGAGCTGAAACCAGCATCAAGTTTTTTTAGTTCCAGTTTGGTGCTTTTTTTCATTATACTATGCTATTTTTAAGGCTTACTCCCCTCCCTGTTCCACCGTTTCTATTTACCAGTAGGTCTTGCCACAACCACATGTTTCATGGTAAACTTAGAAATTTATCAGCCTGGTATTAAAGTTTGAGAGGCTATAGAGTTGTACAGGCACCCAGGAGACTTCACAGGTTTGGGATTGTTTCTAATACATGGATAACTAAACTACTTTTTCTATATGACAGTTATGTTCATGTCCTTTTCATTTATTAAAAAACAAACAAACCTGTTTTGTTTTGTTTTGTAGGTTCATGGGTGTGTGTGTACATCAAGGACAACTGCATGCACTTACAGAGGTAAGACTTCAATAAGCGTGTTGAAGTGACTTCATTGCCTTAGTTTCAGCATTTATGGTTCCATAGTGATTGTTACTTGCATATATAAGGAAAATTTGTGTGCCTTTATGTTTATGTAAAAATGGCAGCGTTAATAATGTTTTCTTCTGTTGCCTGGGAACAATGACCATATCTCTTAATGCTCTTGGAGTCTCTCATCATGCTTGGTGAATATTCTGAGAATACAAGCGCTCAAATATTAAATTGGTTTTTGCTGCCTGGATGACCCCTTCCTAAGCTATGGAATGGCATCACTTACCTGCAGACACTATCATGGCAGCAAATTTCCAGACTACCCAGCAATGTTTGGTATCCTGATCTAGAATTCCACTGTCGCTGCTCTAGTTTCCTGATTGGTCTCATTACTCCTTGGAATCAGTTTACTTCTCCATTCTCATTTCTTTTTCTGCCTCTTGTAGGTAGCTAAATATGAGATAGTCATTACCGAGGCTTTGAGGACCAGAGAATCCTCTCTAGACCAAAGACTTCCCAAATTCAGGTACTGAGTTACCAGCTTCAGAATTTGCTTGGGTGCTTCTTAGAAACATATAATAGACTCCGGGAATCTTCTAGGTTTAGTAGGTCTGCATAAGGCCCATATGTAGCCTTAAAAGCTCCCCAGATTATTCTAATGAGCATCTAGATTTTAGAATCTATATTCTAGAATGTTTTCGCATTCCTCCTTGAGAAATATGTGCCAAAATACAAAGTGAAGAAACTTAGGAAGGAAAATTGTTCAACAGAATTTGCAAGAGTATTGGTTTCCTGCTGGCTTGGTGTCTGTTATTAGTCCTTAATATCTTATGAAGGAGGGTCCCATGTGCCTCACTCTACAAGTATATCTCTTTTCTCAGTTACAAAGGGCACCAGAATGTGGAATGTGTGTAGCTATGTCCTGCCTCATATATGGAAGACCAAAGAAGGTGAAATAGTGAAGTGGTTAAGAGCATGGACTCTGAAGTCATGATTGCCTAGATTTGAATCTCTCTGTGCCTCCATGTTTTCATCTGTAAAATGGGAATAATGATAGTATCTGCCACAAAGAGTCTGGATAGAGAAGAGGACTGGTAGCTAAGCCCTAGAGTATTTCAATTTTAAAAGTCTGGGGAGAAGGGCAGATTAAGAAGGAGTGGCTAGTGAGTGAGGTAGGAAGAAAACCAGAAAAGCATATTGGCCTGGAATGGAATCAAAGAAGGAGAAGGAAGTAATTAGTTATGGCAAATGTAGCTGATAAGATGATGACCTCCCAGAGATGTTTTGAGGATGAATGTAGAATGCTTATTTAGCACAGTGCCTGGCATATAGTAATTGTTAAATACATTTTAACTAGTATAGCTTTTATTAACAGTGACTAGTCCCACCTGAACTCTTTGAATTGTCAATATTTTTTCATTTGGTACTTAATTCTATACTGTTCTTAGTGTCATTGAATGTTTTAAAAATCTTTTATTGAAGTAAAGCATACAGAAAAAGCACATATATGACAAGTGTGCAGCTTACTACATTTTTGCAAATGAACACACCCATAAACCAGCATCCCAGATCAAGAAACATTTTCTGTGTATTTCTTTTCTCAGAAGTGAGTCTATAAATTCTTCAAAGACAACTCTCTCCTTCTCTCAAGCCTTCTATCTTCTAGAGCTCTGACTGTAATAATTGTAAAACGTATTTGTTGTACTCTCAGCTTATATCATTGTTCTCTGAAATGTGAGTTCATTGGAAGGGCTCGTGTATTTGTTTTTCTGACAAAGAGAAACATGCTTTACTATTTAGGATCATGTCACAAATTTAGAAGTGAGGTATAGTGAAAATGGCAGAAATGAGTGATCTTAGTACAACATACTCTTGGCCGTATTACACTTAAATAATACTTTCTTTTGCTTTTTAGCTTGTGTATAGTCATATACAATACAGTGCATATTTTGTGAAGGAGTGTGTAATTTTTAGTATTATTAATGAGATATTGACATAGCCTATGATATTAATAATTTTTATTATGTTACTAGGTTGATGTGAAGTCCAGATATCCAAATGGTCTTGGTTATTTTCAGATTGCAAAGGCCATTATGGCAAAGATCTCTGGGTACTCCTACATTTAGTTGCCTTACAATTTTTTTTCACTTTTGTATTTTTTTTATTAGTTTCAGGTGTATAAAACAAGGTAATGATTAGACATTTATACACCTCACAAAGTGATAACCCAACAAGTCTACTACCCATCTGACACCATACATAGCTATTATAATACCATTGACTATATATATGTATATGGTGTGATCAAACAATATGGTGAATGTTTAAATTAAAATGTTTAAATAGGGGGCTGGCCCAGTAACTCAGTTGATTAAGAGCTTGCTCAAGAGTGAAAGCTCTGAGCAACAGGGTCGCTGGTTCTATTCCCACATGGGCCAGTGAGCTGTGCCCAAGCTGAACTGCCACTGAGCTGCCAACAGGTGGCAGGATGGCTCAGCTAGTGAGAGCACGTGCTCCTAACAACAGGGTTGCCTGTTCGAGATGGTGAGCTATGCCCTCCTGCAATTAAGACTGAACTCAGCACCTTGAGCTGAGTGGTGCGACTAGACTTGGAGCTGAGCTTGCTGCACCCTCCACAACTAAGATTGAAGGACAACAACTTGGCTGTTTCCCTTCCCCAATTCTCCAACACTGTTCCCCTCCCCCAATTAAAAAAAATGTTCAAATAAAAAAATATTACAGTAAAGGACACATTGCCATTAATTCCCCTCAAAATACTCCCCTTGCTTCAAACACACGTATCCCATCGTTCTTGCCCCTTTCTGAAGCAGTTCTGGAAGCCCTCTTTCATGAGTGTCTTTAGTTGTGCTGCTGTGGCTGCCTCGATGTCCTGAATCATTTTGACTTTGGGGAAGAGCCAGAAGTCACATGGTGCCAGACCTGGTGAATAAGGTGGATGCGGACACACCGTAATGTTTTTATTTGACAGAAATTGCCATATACCAGAAGTGATGTGTGATACGGAACATTGTCATGATGGAGGATGATTTACAGCACACTTTAAAACACACCTTCTCTCAACCATAGCTCACGCCCGACTGACTGCACTGATGAAGTTGAAACTTGTCACGAACTGTTGCTAAGGTTCAATGCGCAGCTTCCCGTATTGAAGATCCCTGCCTTTCCGTTTTATAGTACTTGGCAGCAGCATTCACTGTATTTTGTGATCACAACAGAAAGGCTCCGTGTCACATATTGCTTCTGTTATGGCAATGTCTGTCAAATAAAAATATTATAGTGTTTCCTCATCCACCTTATTAACCGGATCTGGCACTGTGAGACTTCTGGCTCTTCCCCAAAGTCAAAATGACCATGAAAGATAAATGTTTTGAATCGATTCAGGACACCAAGGCACCCATGACAGCACAACTAAAGACACTCACAAAAGAGGACTTTCAGAATTGCTTCAGAAAGTGGCAAGAACGATGGGATATGTGTTCGAAGTGAGAGGGCGTATTTTGAGGGGCATTAATAGCAATGTGTCTTTTACTGCAATAGTTTTTTTTAAATTTAAACATTCACCGTAGTTTTTTATCACAGCTCGTATATGTATGTGGATATGTAATAGTTGACATTCAATATTATTTTGTATTAGTTTCAGGTGTACAGTGCCATGGTTAGGCATTTATATAATTTATGAAGTTATCCCCCAATAAGTCTAGTAGCCATCCCTCACCATATATAGTTTTTACATTATTGACTATATCCTCCATACTATATTTCACATTCCCGTGACTGTTTTGTGACTACCAATTTTTACTTCCTCACCCATCCTCACCTTTCTTACCCATCCCCCTGAAAATATCCCCCATCTAGCAACCATCAGTTTGTTCTCTGTATTTATGAGCCTGTTCTGTTGGTTTGTTTATCCTGTTTTTTAGATTCCATATATAAGTGAGACCATATGGTATTTGTCTTTCTTAGTCTGACATATTTCCCTTAGCATAATATCCTCTAGTTTCATCCATGTTGTTGCAAATGGTAATATTTCATTATTTTTTATGACAGAGTAATACTCCATTGTGTAAATGTACCACAGTTTCTTTATCTAGTTGTCTATTGATGGACATTTCAGTTGTTTCTGTATCTTGGCTATTGTGAATAATGCTGCAGTAAATATAGGGATGCATACGAGGTTTGACAATTAAGTTCACAAACTTCTTGCAATGATGTTGCTAACTTTTTTATATTAGAGGGATTATTCATTATGAATTTGTACCAACTGGACAAACAGTTAACCAAGTTTACTATTTGGAAGTGCTGAAAAGACTGTGTGAAAGAATTAGACAACCTGAAGTTTTCGCCAACAATTCACAGCTTTTGCATCATGACAGTGCACCAGCTCACACGGCACTGTCTGTGAGGAAGTTTTTATCCAGTAAACAAATAACTGTATTGGAACACCATCCCTACTCACCTGATCTGGCCCCCAATGACTTCTTCCTTTACCTGAAGATAAAGGAAATATTGAAAGGAAGACATTTTGATGACATTCAGGACATCAAGGGTAATATGACAACAGCTCTAATGGCCATTCCAGAAAAAGAGTTCCAAAATTGCTTTGAAGGGTGAACTAGGCGCTGGCGTCAGTGCATAGCTTCCCAAGGGGAGTACTTTGAAGGTGACCATAGTGATATTCAGCAATGAGATATGCAGCAGTTTTTCTAGGATGAGTTCGCTAATTTGTCAGACCTCGTATTTTTTTGAATTACTGTTTTGGATTGCTTTGGTTAAATACCCAGGAGTGGAACTGCTAGTTCATAAGGTAGTTCTATTTTTAATTTTTTTGAGGAAACTTCATACTGTTTTTCACAGTGGCTGCGCCAGTTTACAGTCCTACCAACTGTGCACAAGGGTTCCCTTCTCTCCGCATCCTCACCAACACTTGTTGTAATTCCCTTACAATTTTGACTGTGCAGCACAGCTAT